AGTCCACAAAACCTGTATATGCAGAGTTCATCTAGTGCTACAAAAGACATGTTTATCTTTTTTGATTGCTGAGTAATATTTCATGGTGTATATGTAACATATATCTTGCTCCAGTCCTCTATTTTTGGGCATTCGGGTTGATTCCACATCTTACCTATTGTAAAGAGTGCTGCAATAAACATAGGGCTACAGGTGTCCTTTTGAATCAGTGTTTTTTGTGTCATTTGGGTAGATACATAGGAGTGGAATTGCTGGATCATATGGAAGCTCCATTTTTAGCAGTTTGAGAAACTTCCAGACAGCTTTCCATAGTGGTTGGACCAGTTTGTGTCAGAGACCTGCTCCAATTTTTGAGGTGTCTGGAGGCAACACAGGCAGGACCCTAAGATGGGAAGGCATCGGTGAGCAGAGATTCCAAAAGGGGAGACAGGAGTGGGCACAAGGAAGACACGGAAGTCAGGATAGGGTGCAAGTCTTCTGCCATTCCTTTAGCAGGTCTTTATACTGTGTAGCAAGTAATTAATTGTAATAATGCATAGAGTAAGTTAATGAGATATCGCCATAAACCGTTCTCAAGGACAAGGGGGAAAAGCATTCTTCTCTTAACAATTTATGGTATAATAGATTATACATTTTGTGATAGTTATCATGTATACAGCTGTCTAGTTATCACTCAAAGGAAGAGAGGTCTGGGAAAGGGTGAGCTTGTTAGCAAAAGGTTGTTAAGGGTCTTGGGGTAGTAATAGATTGTGTTAGCAGTGTTATCAGTGATTGTCTAAAGAAAAGCTAATGGCTAATTTAAGGCTAGCAGAGAGTAGTTAGTGCTTGTTTTAAAAGGAGTAAATTAAGAGAAAGTTGTACAGTTGTATATCAAATAGCATCTGTGTAGTCAAGGTTAAAATTTGTCCATGAGTCCTTATGCCCTGAGAGCCTTATCTGAGGTTTGCTTTTTTATTTAAAGAAACCAAGGAAGCTTCCCAGGAGTTTTTATGTCCTGGGGTCTTATTTCTCCTGGGGCTTGCCTTTTGTCTCAGGAGACAGAGGAATTTCTACTCCTGGGGCAGCTTGCCTGAACCAGGAAGCCCCCTGTGTGGCTAAGACAATCCAGTTGTAAACTGAATGTTACTCAGAATATTTTGATATTATGATTATACAAAAAAGGGAGGTCATAAGTTAGCAGTAGAAAGTCTGATTTTTCAGAGCTTATCCCAATCTATCTGGAATCTGTCAGATGATAGGCGTTGCATAGCTTGTGTCAAGTTTGCATTCCCACGTCAGTGTAGAAGAGTTCCCTTTTGGTGTATTGAGGGAGGATATAGAATTCACCCTGAGAGGCAAGGCGTAAACTGTGGAATGTCCAACAGTTTCTGAAATTCCCCACAGCTGTGGGTTTGGCATTTCTTTTAGTCCCCTGAGGTAGTTGGGCAAGTATGGGTGAAGGAGGAAGTTCCCTAGGTCTGCTCAGGTTCTGCTACTTCCCCAGGCCTGCTGCTTGGGGGAGTCTGCTGCTTGGATTCTGCTGCTTGCTGGAGCAGAAAGTTCCTGCAGTATACTGCTAGCTCACAGTAGTATCTATGGTTACCCTGACTACCTTCTGAAACAACAAAGAATGCTTATGCTGTATAAATGGGATGACAAGTTTTCTCATGCAAACTGTATAAAACCTCACCACTCCTGTAATTCGGGACTTAGCCTTTGGGACTGATCCCACTGAGCCCGCCGTGACAAGTAAATCTTTCTCTCCACCTCACTCAGTGCCATCTGATTTCTCTGGGAAACTGCCGTAACATGGGGGCTTCTGAGGTCTCTTTCCACCTCAGAGCTTGTGGTACCTAAAGGCACTCAATGTAGGGACTGGCAGTCCAAGTTTCCTCCTGATGCCTTTCTGATCACTAGGTGGTGCCAGAGACATCTCCTAGTAGGCTTTCAGAGTGGGCTTATTCTTGCAGGTCTCCTGGAGAAGGAGGGGGGAGGGGAATGCCACAAGCTAACCCTCACCAGTCAGCCCCCTGCTGTAGCAGCACTGTTGCCCCCACTTGCCCATCTATTGCTTTCTGTAGCCTTCAGATGTCCCAGGATTCTTCCATGGCCTCCAAACTTCCTTTTTCCTCCTGGGCAAGTGCGCTGATTTTGTGGGTGGGGGCGGGGAGCAGGTAAAAGTATCACAAGTAGGCTGATTCTCTTTTCTCCCTTGCCTTGTTTTTTTTGTTCTGTTTTGTTTTTTCCCCTTCTGACACAAGCTATGCGACGGCTATCATCTGACAGATTCCGGGTAGCTCGGGAAAAGCTCTGAAAAATCAGACTTTCCACGCTAACTTATGTTATGACCTCCCTTTTTTGTATAATC